GGTGCTGTGGCTTGGCGTGGCGGCTGCAGTCACCGGCCGGACATCCGAATAGTGCCGAAGTCACCTGTGCGGGGGTCCGGCCGGGTCGGCGTTGGCCGAGAGCTACTCTCGCCACGCCAAAAAGTGCCGAACGGAGCGGGCGGACCGTCCACCCGTCGCCAGGCTCGGTCCGGGCGGCCACCCGGCCCGTTGACGAAGAGACGGGCCGGGCCGGGCGCTCTGGCGACAAGCACTCGGTGGCTGCCGGGCGGAGCCCGCCCGCCCGTTTGAGAACTCTGGTCTAGCAGCTAATGAGTCATTTCCGGTCGGTCTTGCTGCTCCGCTAGACCATCGGTGGAGAGTCAGAGAATTGTCCCCGCCGCGCGTCCTGCAACGAACTATCTAAACTGGGCGGTCGGGCGGGGGCGAGCGCCCGGCGGGGTAGGCCACTCGCACCGGCTGAAGGCGCTGCGGGCGCGCCTACCCCTCAGACTAACTGCGTACTAAATGTTGGTACTCTCGGTGGAATTGGCACGATATCGGGTGCGGCCAGCTGCAGAGGCCGGCAGGGCCAGGCGGCGGACCCACCCGGACCATCCGTGCTGGAGCCGCGCGGCATCCGGGCCGTCGCCTCCGTGGTGCTCCCCGGCGCCCCGCGGCTGGGGAGGGGCGTGGGGTCCACGGTGTAGAGAGATACCGAGGGGTGCCCAACTGTGCACCCCAAAAAATGGTTTCTTGATTCAAGTGCAAGCTGACACAAGATTAAATTCACTATTGAAACAAGGCAATATTGTCTTCTGAATAAGATTTTTCTCTTGTTCGAAAGAAAATATCACCTTGTTTCAAGAGTAAATTTGATCTTGTGTCAGCGTGCACTTGAAATAAGGAAAAATTTGCTTAAAACAAGAAACGATTTTTCTGGGTGTGGTAATCAGGTGTACACAGACTTGTTAATCACTAGTAATCACTGGTAATCCCTGGTAATCCTCACACTTGTGAGGGTCCTTTGAAAGGAGAAATTTGTTGATTTAGCCGTGAATTTTTGTTCACATCTTGCCTAAATGCCAACGCGCATGTTAATTCGGCAACCGGGCGTGGCGTAGCGCCGCGCGCCGCCCGCCCGTGCGAGCGAGAGAGACAGGTAGTCACTGTGCGAGAGAAGCACCGGTACGCGTACGCGTTGCCGAGCAGCGCGGCGGACGGCGTACTGGGTAACTAATAATGGGGACTGGGACCTCCCTAGGTACCCCAGTGTCCCCACACTCCCACAGTATCTCTCTACACCGTGGTGGGGTCGTACAGGGTCCCACACACACTCCGACACTTGAAACCTACAAGCACGGAGTTCGTGGAGTCTCCGTATAAACCCGTAGTTCCAGGCAGCTCCGTACAGACACGCAGTTCAGCGGGTCCCCGTATAACGTCGTAAGTGCTTGAAAGTCACTTCTCTGAGATATAGCGCTTCAAAGTTTTGGATTAACATTGCGCCTTATGGGTGGCTGGATCTTCAGACCAGAATTTACTTTTAAACTAATTGACATATCGAAATGCGGTTTTCGCTGATGGATAGCCCTTGGTTTCCTCTATCCGACGCACTTCATAACTCGAAATTTTCAAAAAACATAGTTACGACGCTATACGGCGGCCTTGCTGAACTCCGTGTTTGTACCGAGTCCCCGGGAACTGCGTGCTTATACGGAACCTCCACGAACTCCGTGTGTATAGGTTTCAAGTGCCGACTCGTCAGTCGTCAGTCCGTCCCCCGCGTGCCGCTGCCACGCCGAAGAAGAACGAAAACAACGACGCGGGTCGAGGCCGTAGTGTTCCGATTACCTCACTCAGAGAACTTGTGTGCAACTCTGAACTGTGTTCCTCTGCACAGCATTTTACTCTGACAAACAGCCGTGCTCTGATCTGGTAGTGGTCGCTTGTGACGGCCGCAAGTACAGACTCACTGGCAGGGCCTTGTTGTCGCCGTAACACAACGACCCGTGGAAGAGCAGCAGCTGGGTCATTCGTCTTCAAAGTCGTCTATAATCAGAGCGAGTGGGAGGCTGGAGGGAGACAGAGCGAGAGACGCGCGCTCTGCAGCTAGTCGGGGGTGGGGCGATCGCCTAACAGCGGCGGGGTAGGCCACCCGCTCTGCTGGCGAGCGCGGCGGGCGCGCCTACCTGGCAGGGGCGCCGGTTGGGCGCGGGGCGTTCGATGAGTCCGAGCCGCTCCTGCAGCTGGACCACGCAGTTGTTGCCACCGAGCAGGCTGCCAGAGACCTGATCCCTTCGCGATGGCAGCGGCGGTGTGTGGGGCAGTAGCATTAGTTCCGCCCAACACTTGGGAGAGAGATTAGAGAGCGGCCAATTGACCGATCTAAATATACCAAAGATTAACGAGGGGGGGGGGGTTCTGCCGTGGTCCCCGCGTGAGTGCAGCGCGGTCCACCAGCACCCTGAGGGGCGGGCGGCTGGCAGCGGCGGGGTAGGCCGCCCGCACCGGCTCGGAGCGCGACGGGCGCGCCCGCCTCACAGGGGCCCTGCCGGCCTGCCGGCGCAGACCAGACCACCTCTGCGGGCAGCCGATGCTCGCCGGACGCTCACTCCTCCTGCGACGGGGTCCTTATCAGGGCCCAGCTGATAAAGGAATGGCGGACCCAGCGGCGCGACGGCACTGCAGTCGGCGCTGATAGCCCTGGCGGGACGGGGGAATAGCGGAAGCCCAACGAGACTGGTCAAGGAAAGTCGCAACTCGAGTAAAAGTAAGTCTAAAAGGGATGATGCAAAGCGGTGAATGCATCCTCTGCGTACAGCCGCGCACACCTCCATCCATGTGATGTCTGCATCAGTCTCAGCAGGATAAAGTGTGCCGTCCCCTTTACTGGGAAACAATTGTTTACGCCAGGGTTGTAACGCCGTGTGGCTGAATTAGCCCAACGCACTTCTGTAGTTATATTGTGCCCGACGGGTCCCCAACTTCCAAAAGAGGTGTGCAACGAGTCGGCGAGTTGCCGCGGGTAACGCGCGAGTTGGGATCAGGTTTTTGAGAGTTTTGCGTGATTTTGACGCGATAGTTTTCGCAAGATTTTGCGAGTTGGGCGCGTATTGTACACAACGAGTTGGCTTGTGGGGGACCCCTCGGTTGTGCCGCACTCAGGAAGGCGCGCACGGCTTGTCTATCGCCCCTGTCCACGGTGCCTTACGCGCGGTGCAACATAACTACAGAAGTGCGCGGAGTTAATCAGCAACCTGGTATATTCTTTGAATTCAATCTATGTAACCATTTCAATCGTGAATATCTCTTTTTCGTTTTTGTTTTAGATGAAACTGCAGTGTGACATTTGTTTCA